GGGGGAGGCCGAGCCCCTGGCAGAGAGCACGTGGTTTCCCCTCCTTTGGGGAGGTGACCTCTTTCCTTGCGTGTCACCTTCTAATTAGGTTCCTGCTGTACTGGCTAATTGCTGATTGCGAACAGTCTAGAAGCTGAAGACTGTGGAACAGAATGATATCACCTCTTCCTGCTGTTTTGGAGAGAGCATTGTGTGCCACCTCCCTATGGCAATAAAAAATGTAAATGCTAAATTTCTTATCGAGACAAGCCAAAAACTCTGTTGGATTTGTATTTCCCGTCTTTGATTCGCTTCCCTGCGGAGGACGTTTTATTTCATCCGCTGCCCACCTCTCCCCCTTTCCTACAATGTTAACGTATCATGTTATGCTCACCTGGGAGATGTTACCAGTTGTATGCAAAGCAAATCCTGTGTTGCTAAGCTATTTTGAAGGTTGTCATAATGCTCCATAAGTGACGTAAATAGGAAGCTTTTCTTATACACATGTCTTCACTTCATGGTTTTGTGTCTGGTTGGGTGTAGACTGAGGGTGAAGCTTCTGGGACTTGTCTTAGTCCCTTTTAGGCTGCCAGTGCTAAGGGCCCCTGTTACAGCTGTCATGAGTTTTTGAAGTCCTTCAGTGGGTTGTTTTTCCTTCAGATCTGTAGGGAAGAGTGACCTCCGATCGCTGCTCCTCAGGCAAACCGATCTGTAAACAAAGAGGCAGTGGCAGAGGGGTGCCTCTTCAGTAAAACCTAATGGGGGAGTTTATATAACAAAACACAAGTAAATGGACAAGTAAGTGACTTCTAAATTGCGCTGTTACTTCTCCTGCAGAGTAATTATTAATCAGTAAGCCTCGTATCTGACAGCATCAGAGTGTGCTAATCGCTCTGAGCTACCTTGCAGTCTGCTAGGAAACCAACCTTTGAGGGGAAGTATTATTAACTAAACCATGATCACCTCTGGCATGTGTCTGAAAGCAGCATGGTCTCTTGGAGCTCCTGCTTCACCCATGCGCTAGCTGTTTTGCACTGATACGGTTTAACAGCGTCACTCGGGAGTTGTGGGTACTGTGCATCATTCAAGCTGTAGTCGCTGGGTCGTGTAGCGTTTGGGCCAAAACAGGTTTCCAAATGTTAGGTTGGAAGTCTTTCCAGTTGCTTATTTCTCCCATAACACGTCTCGGAGGGATTCTAATGCTGCAAGGCAAAGGTGTGTGATCGCTTGTAGAACAAGCTGAGAGTTTTACCATTAAGCGATTTCATAGATGACTTCTCTAAAAAATAAATGGCACTGTTCTCTGGGGCATCTGTTACTAGATACTGATGAAGACAGGGCATGAGACAGGACCTAGCTTTGATGTAAATAATAACTGCTCTGTTCCTGTGGAGCTATTAGCTCTGCTGTTAATGCACGAACAGAGGACAGTGCCAATCAAAATGCAAACGATGATGAAAAAACAAGAGTGTTTTCAACAAGGAGCGGTAAGATACTGTAAGAAAGTTTTGGTGTTTTCTGGCAAATAACTTATTTCTTGAATTGCACTTCAAGAGGAGCTAGATTTTGGGTTATTTGCTGGATCCATCACACTTCAGCGTTTTTCTTTCAAAACATGTTTTTAAAGTAGCAAAACAAAAACATTCTTCCTTGGACTCTTTAGGACAAAAGTATTGTCTAAGGTATTTAAGGGCTATCTGCAAACAATATCCACCCTGGAGCCTAAGTCCTCGACCATGGAATAAATGGAAATACTTCCCTCTAAGGCCTTGCCTTTGGTCACATAAAAAGAGGAAAAAGCCAAATCAAAACATGAAGTCCCTTTGAAGTAGTCATTTTTAAAGGCAACATGCCAGCATGGTTGTATCAAAAGACTTCAGAGTATAAAACCACCAGCAGCTGGTTGTTTACATCTCTGAAAACGGCAGGTATAGAGAAGTTTTATTGTGCCTGTTTCTCCTTCCGCATTCACGGTGCTGTATCGTGGAACAAGGGTAAGGGGCTAATTTCCCTCTCGCAACAGCTCAGTAGTGATTAGCGGAGGGAATTTTGGTGCAGATGCATCACGACTGAGGCTGCTTTCTGCCGTTCAAATAACACACGGGAGTTTTAGAGAACTAGCTGGAATAGCAAACTTGGGAAATCACGGAGTGCGTTTGCTCTGAGTGGTCTCCTCTCAGCATGGGCTGGAGAGGCTGGTAGGAGCACGCTGCGTTCCGGGAACTCATCACTGGCGAAACAATCCCTTAGAGTGTGCTATGAACTGGTGCAAGTCAAAATACTGCTGACGCACTTTGCCCTTTCTCTTCCTCCTGTGCACTTGGGGAAGAAAAATGTAGCGTAGCTGAAGTTCTAGGCCCTTGTGTTCGTTGTAATTAGAAATTTTACAGGCACTTTCCAGGGAACTGAGAGAGATCGAATACAGGGAGCAACATGGCATCTTTCTCTGCTCGCAAAAAATAATCCAAGCAGTATCAGAGGTGACTTCTTCCAAGTCTCATGCAAATCAATTTGTCACTGGCCCCAATTCTCTGCAATAGAAGACAGGACTTCTGTGAAACCTGAAATTGGGCTTGGCACTAATTACTGGATTGTAAACAAGCTCATCCTAAAGTCCGTTTGGAATTAATGGCAAAAACGGGTATCTTTTCACATAGACAGTTCTTTGTACACACACTCTAGGGTGAATGCAAAATACGCATGTTTGCACACAATCCCTCCCATATCTTCCGCTGCAAAAATTCTGATTTCTCAAGTCTCCTTGAGAGCAGATGGGGAAAGCAAAAATATTTGTGTAGCTCAGTACTCCAGTGACTTAGGACATAGCCCATTCTCTAGCAAGAAACTTCTGAGATTCTGTTCCTGGGTAAAGCAGTTCTGCCTTGGGTGCTGCGCCTCTGTCACCGCGTTGGCAGAGGCCATGGTGCTGATACAGCATAAGCCAGGAGAAGAAGAGTCCTCCGTTTTTTTAGGTACCCCAGCCATCCTGCCCGAACAACGGGGCTGGCACTGGCAGCAGCTCTCTCTCTTCTCTGGGCATGGCTGCTTGTCGTGGGGCTTTGTAAGCATAGTGAAGTTGGCCAAGACTTTGAGTTTTTCATATGGGGTGTTTACGTAGTTACGCTGGTGAACCTTTGTAGTCCAGACACAGCCCGAGTTGTGCTGCGATTTCGGGGAAGTTGCTGTTCTTCGCTGTGAAGACTTAGTAATAGAAATGCCATTAAATACTGTGGTACGTATTATTTCTATCTAAAGTGCTTTGAGGTTTCTAAAAGCCCCTCCAGTTCTGCTTTGCAGTAAGATTTAATTGTGCTCTGGAGGCTCCTAAACTGCATCGGTTTATGTGTTGAGGCAAGCTGAAATTGGACAAACTTTTTAACTTTGGAGTAAGCTATGGCCCGAGTATACTGGAGACGGGAAAAGATCGTTGTCTTGTGCTCCAGAAAACATAGTGAAGAAAAACTAGCACCTCCTCAAACAGCAGACATTATGGAAGGACAAGTGAAACGAATAAGCAGGTCAAGTTCTTTCGGTGTGCCTATCATTCCCATTTCTCCAACCTCTGAGGATTAAGGAATTTCGGGTCGATTTTCAAGGCTGTAGCACTTGCATATGTAAGGAATATATTTTTGTTGCTTTCTCTCCTATCTGCTTAGTGCCTGACTTCTCCACAAATCTTTCAGTGGCTGCTTATTTTGACAGTTTTATTTAATTTATTTATTGTCAGCCATTAGAAAATTAAACTCAAGAGGTTGCCTAAATGTGTCCTGTCACATAAAGGCACTTACAAGACAGGTCAATTCTACTCCTGTTAATAATCATGTGAACTCCCATTAACTTATTTTGATCCAGGAATAAATTTGGTCCATTCCGTTGACTCTTTGGGCAATTGCTGAGCATCAAATTACTCTGCAGCAGCAAAACCAACAAAACTTTCCAGCTCTGGAGAGAATGAAGACTATTCTGTCTCATAGACAATGCTTGCCTTACAGAAGTTTTGAAATACTTCATGGCTTATCAATTCCCCAGCAAATGAGTGTTTGAAACATGACATTCTTTAAAATTATGCATTAAAATGATGACAGCGCTGCTCCCCAAACCACCTTACAAACATTTCTTATAGAGATGCTTGAAAACATTAAAGTCTGAGTAGCTATTTTTTCTGTTTGCAGCACAAAACAGTATTTGAATATATTCAAAATGGATTTTTTTTTTTTTTTGTTAAGGTGTTCTGTTTGACTAAAAGACAACAGCCCTGCAGTTGGGTTATGCAGATACGCAGTCAAATCGTGTTGTTCTTCACTTTGACAGAATTTTGTCACTTGGGGAAGGATGTTTAAGAGCCAGGAGAGGACACATGTAGTCTTTTGTTTTCTTTTCAAAACAGTTCAGAGGGAGAAAGAAAGGGAAGGTCCTTCTACCCTTTGCCCTGCTGTTCAAGGGTTATATAAATATATCCCTGCCCCACTCCTCTAGACTGATTGGGACGTATAAGGTGGCTGCCCTCATGCTCTTCACTTTTTATTCTCTGTATACATCCTGTTTTTGTTTTTCCTTCTAAATCTGTAACAATAGATGCCTGAGCCTTACTTAAGAGATGCTCTGCTTTGGAATTTGTGGGAAAAGGAAAAGCATTAAACTTGAATTATATCCACAGTCACCTCCTTTACTGTTGAAGATTAGCAGCAATCAGTGGCCACCGAGGAAGCCAACGTGGCATGTTTAATCAGAGGACTATTTAGTTACCAAGCCCATGTGGTCTCTTGACTTGCTTTGAATTCTGTTTTTACTAAATGTCTTTCATGTAAAACACTTAATTCCTCCCTATTTGAGTTGTGTAGGTTAAAACATCTTATATCTGGAACTTTACAAAAGTGTTGATGTTCTCTGAGTGACAGAACATCGTGTAGATCAAATCCTATCTTAAGCAGCAAGTAAACCTCTATATTCTTTACAAAGTAAGTTTTATGTCTCTGAACTATCTGACTGGGCTTACCAGAGTTCTGTCTTCTCTTGCAGGCATTATGCTACTTGAAGTATTCCTGGTTCTGGGGACAGTCATAGTCTACTTCTTACTTTCCAAGAAGAAAGAAGAGACATTACCTTTCAAAGAGGGATGGTGGGGCAAGGGACAAAAGCCTGACACTGAAGAAGACGCAACTGTTCGGCCATTCAAGGTGGAAACTACAGAAGAAGAGCTGAGCGTAAGCAAATCTCAGTACTGGGGACAGAGAAGTATGAAATGGCCAAATAAATGCAGAACTTGTCCGGAAGTCATTTTTAAATCGAACCAATAGTTACCTTTATGAGAGTGAGCAATGATGCCCAGGACTTGGGGGAAGGGATTTTTCAGTACTTCAGAAGACAGGTATGGGTAGGCAGACTTCACATCCTGCTATACAATTTTGTTCTCAGCTGGCTGTTGCAAGATTGCTGGTAAATAAACCTACTCTGTAAAGCCCACAGAGGTCTGAGCAGGATTAGATTTCTAGACCTGCCTTCCACCCTCAACTATTCTGTGGTTCTGTTTGTAGTAGGAAGGGGCTCTTGGCTGTCCTTCCCTGCTGAGTGATTTTTTTAGACTGATTTTGCAGTATCATCAGCATCCCCTGTAACCTTGATTTGTTATTCTAGATTGAGAAACTTTCACTCCAGTCTAGTGTCACCAACTTTGTGGCTGTCCAAAATCCGTCAGAGTGTTTCCCAGTGAAGACATCCAGTCCCTTGGTTTGGGAAGGAGAGCGAAAGGTTTGGGCCAGATCCATGCATTGATTATGAGGTTGGGCTCACAGGTAACCTGAGGAACAAAATACCGTGGAAAGGCAACAAGACTTAACCTGTGAAGCCACAGTGTTGTCAGAGGAGCGTATTGTCCTCTGTGGTTATCAGCCGGGCAAACAGGTTAGCCAGCTCTGCAAAACAAGGAGGGAGAAAGTGTTAAGAACAGCTGTAAATGGAAGAGGAAGGAGGCCATCTGGAGGAGAAAAAGAATTGGAACAGCTGATGGAGCGTCAGCAAAACGTGCAGGTGTCATTAGAGATGTTATTTTCATTGTTGTTCTCATTTCCCTTGGGAATAACTAGAAACCATGCACAGTACTGCGCAAAATGGCAGACACAAGTGTTTGTAATGTCTCTTCTTGCTTGTTCCCTACAGGACTTGTTTAGGAGACTTGACCAGGCCCGATTCACTGAGCCGCTGGAGAACAGTTGCTTCCATTATGGGACTAACTCGGTGTATCTCAGGAAGGTTGTCTCCTACTGGAAAAACCAGTTCAATTGGAAGAAACAAGTTGAAGTTCTCAACAAGTACCCACAATTCAAAACCAAGATTCAAGGTGTGTGGCCTTTTCACTTAAAAAATAAACAGTAATACATAATGTTGTTTACAAGGCACCTCAGTGGTAAGAATGCTGTGTTTGTGTCACATGGGCCTTCCTGGCTGCCATGGCATGGATCATTGGCACGGCTGCTGGAGCAGCAAGAAACTCATTCATCGTAACTGAAGCCTTTAGGACAAGGAATGACAAATGGAATTCCCTTGTGCATGGATGGGTTGTCAGCTGGTGTTAACAGGAGCCAAGCACAGGCATTTGGAAGCAGAACTGGATGTTAAGATGTACACATGTTCCCTGACTTGCACGCAAAAGTACCCGCAGATGCCTCCTCTTGCTCCATGTAGTTCCCCAGCTGCTGCTGTCATGATGATGCCATCAGTCTGGCGGCCCTCCTCAGCTGGGCGTGCTGGCTGTCCAGGTTGTCCCTGCTTGGCAGGGCAGATGTGCTCTGCTGTGCCATTTCAAGCATTTGCAGGCCTAGAAACACAGAATGCCTTTCCCTGGGGGTTGATGCGCTGCCAGGTGTGAGCGAGTGGTTTGTCTTTTCATTGAAAGCACAGACACCTTTTGAAAGAGACCATTCAGCTGAGGTCTGCTGGTGCTGGAGCTTGGTCAAACTGGACATTTTAAATCCTTGAATAAGGGTTGGGCTTGGGTCATTTGGGGGTACAGTTGTAGATTGAGAGCACAGCAGGCACTTTTCTCACATGATAGCAGAATTCAAACTTGCGATTATGCTCTTATGTTTTTTTTTTGTGTATGTTATTTCAAATGGGGGAGTTCTCCATAATATTTCAAATAGATTTGGGACAAAAAATGATTGTTACCTAGTGGTTAGAACATAAAGATACGTATACAGCATGGTTAGTGCCGATAAAGATAAATGCAAAGAGTCTCCCCTTAAAGAAAAAAAGTATCTTCTGAGACAAGAAAGGGAAAAGAAGCTAAGGACAATGCGCTATATATAGCAATAGGAAGAGAAATTTCACTGTTAAGAATGATTACAGAGGTGAGCTATGAAAAGACAGATCAAACATGCCGTGTATCAGATTCCTAGCTTCTGTCATCACTTCAGAGAATACAGAAATCTACAGAATTGTCAAGGATGGGGAAATCTCAGTCAGTGAAAGAGAGGGGGATTGCTGGTGAACTGGAGTTGATGTAAAATGTGCTAAATACATCAAGAAATGCGGCATTCAGGCTCTACTAAGAGCTAAGTATTATTTCCTGGAAAGCAAAGCCCTGAATGGGTTTGAGGAAAAGCAGTTCACCTGAAGTAACTAGTGCAGTGCTGTGTGAAGCCTACTGCTTAGCTATTGCAAGGATCGCAAAGGAAATAGGACTGCAATTTTTACCTTTTTACTTAACAATGAGGAGACTGGTACTAGAACATAGATTCCTATTTTGGTTTACTCAGAGATACTGAAAGCTTTGGACAAAAGGTACAAAAGAACTACAGCTAACTCGCAGTAAGGCATTTTTTCAAGTCCTTGATTCGGCATGATTGGTTTATCAGCAGTTAAGATGTTACTTGATTACAGGAGGCCTTAACAGACAGATTGCTCACTGAAGGCTTTTTAAATTCCTTTTGCTGCAACATTAAGATCAATGGCTGGAGACAGAAGCCAGACATGTTCAAATGGAAAGTAAGGCACTCGGGAAACAAGGGAAGTGATTAACGCCCCCAAACAAACAGCTGCTGGTTGTGATGGATTCCCTCTCTCTTGATGCCTTCAAGCTGCAATTGTATGCCTTTCAGGAGGAAAAAATCTGTGGCTGGCTGAAGCCTATCTGGTGCCATATAGACACCTTTGGGTAAAATTTAAGGGCACTTGGACTAAATGATGGAATTGTCTTTTCTGCCTTTAAGCTGTGTGAGTCACTGTGTTACCGTTAGTAGATTGCTTCGCTTCTATGTCATAATTTGCCAATTTATTTTAAAACAGAAGTATGCCAACCTCATTTGGCTGCTGTGATGCTTAATTGTCCATTGGATAAATGGATCCAGAGAAGTGCAGTGTGTTTGCATGCTCACCAAAAAAGAACTTCAGAAAAGCCTTATTCATAATTTGTTCAGTGATTAGTTTCAGTGTCACGGTAAATTTGTGCATGTTAATTAATTATTTTATTTTTACAGGCATTGATATCCATTTTGTTCACGTAAAGCCTCCTTGTTTGCGTGAAGGCCAGTCTGCAAAGCCATTACTAATGGTTCATGGCTGGCCTGGCTCATTTTATGAGTTTTACAAAATTATCCCTCTCCTGACGGATCCTGCAAGCCATGGCCTCAGTGATGAACACACTTTTGAAGTCATTTGCCCATCTATCCCTGGTTATGGTTTCTCAGAAGCACCCCACAAAAAAGGTACGATGTTTGAGAAGAAGCTGAACTAACAAAAGTCTAGGCTCACAGCGAGAGAGCCCCCGTTAGCAGAACAGTAACGCCTGGCTCTTCATGTTTTTCCAGTGTAGAAATAAAGATCCTGTATATCATGTGGGAAGAGGGAGATATGAGTGTGACTTCAGGTGACGCCATTAATTAGTTTCAGGAGCAATGTGTAGATAATTTAAAGGACTATAAAAAGTTATGAAGTGACAACTCCTGAATTGTAATTGAGTCAATGAATCATGTGTGGGTGAGCAGGAAGTGTAAACTTAATTTGTTATTGTTCCTTTTGGGTGTTTTGAATCCATATTCAACAGCATTATACAGGTAGGTGAGAAGCAACAGTTGAAACAAATCAATTCATGTATCTACATGGTAGATTGCAGCCAAATACTTGCTTGTTCAGCCTGTGCTCTGAATTATACCAGCACAAGGTGCAAGAAATTGGAGCAAGGTAGTATTTCAAGTGATACCGAGTGAATGATGTGGGGAAGGTTGGTTTTGCTTTTCTCTACTTCCCTGGTTATGATTTATGTGGTCAGTGTTTAGTGGAGTGGAGTGAAGTACATTACTAGTGGAAACTTAAAAGATTCCAACTACCATTAAGATGAGACTGTGCTTACAGTAGACAAAATGGAAATGCATTCCCTAGGCAACGCTCAGTGCCTCTGACAGGGCTCAGCTGGAGTATCACTTCAGTTTAAAGGGAGTCTGGCAACCCCTCAGTGGGGCAAGTGCATGGGCAGCTGGTGGAGTTAGGAGAACACAGGTCTGCGGTGAAGGCTGGACTTTCACCTCACAGTTTCTGTTGCTCTCTAGACCTTACAGCTTTTTAGGAACTTAAATGTTGCCTTTACGGGGAGAATAAATGCTGCACAGTCAAAAGTGTATCTGGAATTAATGCAACAGTGTTGTGTTTTTTTGTTTTGTTTTTAATGCAGACTTTAATTCTGTAAGTGCTGCTTCTATTTTTTATGAATTGATGCTCAGACTGGGATTCAGTGAGTTCTACGCACAAGGTGGTGACTGGGGCTGGCTCATCTGCACCAATCTGGCCCAGATAGCTCCCAGGTGAGTACCCCTTCAGTGCAGTGCTGCATGGTTAGCCTGCAAAGCTGTTCTGTTCATTGAATACTTCTTGTGCACGTGAGACTTCCTGTCCAAGTCCTCCATAGGAGTACTGTCTAGCTTCTCCCTCCGGTGCTCAGTGTTAAGCAGTGATGCGACATCGCATACCTCAGTTCGTACTTAGATACCTGTTCTTTCAAACAATTGTGCAGTAGTTTTGTAATGGCCCCGCTGGGGGGGGTGAGTACTTGTAACAAAAGGAGGATTTGTGGCTTAGTGCCTAAGAGTGTGCGCCGATTACTGATGGTTGCCCCTTTGACTTGTCATTTTTGTGTGAAAAGCCACACTGCAAAGTACAGCTAAGGTCATGATATAATCAGCAGGTCAGAATTTAAGTATGTTCATTTCTGTTAGTAACAGTTTAAATGTAACAACTTTGAATCACGTTTTATTTTTGTTAATTTATGAGGGCTTTTTCTTGTTTTTCTTTTTAGCCGTGTGAAAGGTCTCCATTTAAATCTAGTCTCGGTTACGAACATGGGATTCATTCACCTGCTGTCCATTCTGCTGGGCCGCTATCTTCCAGGGCTCTTCGGTTTCCAGGATGAAGATGTTAGGCGGATGTTTCCCTTCTTGAAAAAAGGGCTCTGCAGGATGCTGCTGGAGTCTGGCTATGCTCACATACAGGCTACAAAGCCTGATACTGTTGGTAAAACAAACAAACAAAAAAACCTTTTGAGCTCAGAATATTTAGTCTGTTCGGTTTAGTTGTACTTTTATAGAAACAAAGCGTACTGCCTAAAATATGCAGAAAATTAGGGTTTTGTTCAGGGAAATCGAAGTAGGAAGGTTAGAGGTTTTAAAGGTGGGCTCCTTTTTCTGTATCCAAGACAGAAAAGCTTACATACAGGTATATAGCGTTACATTCACTTTTGCATGCAGAAGTGGTAAATCTGCACATCAACTTTGAACATGCTCTTAAGTGCCACTGACCTAATTTTCAGTTTTCATAAATAGTTTATTTAATACTTTTCCACTTCTGCTATCACTGGGGACTGTAATTCGATTTCAAATGCAGCTATGCTGAGAGCAAAAGATAGTTTCTTCGCAGAGAATGGATCACATTCAAATAATGTAAAGTACAAGAAGCTTTTAGCTGTCTCGGCACAGAGTGTAGCTTATTTATAGGGATGAGTAATACCTGAAAAGTAAAATAAAATTTTGTTTACATTCATTGTTCTGAATCTTTTGCAGACTTTCAAGGAAAAAAAAAGTTTACCTATGAATGTTCTTTCTAGATGAGCTAGTCACTCAGATTGTTTAACTACTTTAAGTATCTGAGTATTAAGTATAGTTTCTATTTTAAAAACATGTTTTGCAACTGAATTGGACGACAGTCAAGAATACTGAATATATTTTTTAATTTTTTGTAGTGCCGGAGCAATTCACTCATGGATTTTATTAAAAATGTATCTAAGGCATCTATTTCTTAATGGTTTTCCATAAGCTATCTACAGAAGCAGGTATAGTCTTACAATGTGTAGGCAAAATGATAATTTTAGGGATTTTAAATAATTTTGCTTCCTTTTGAGTTGTGGTTTCTAAAAACTACTCGTGTCTCATTCTTCTTGTGTTTTAAGAAAAGATGGGGAAGCTGGTAGCTGAAAGATGCCTGGCCAGGTTCCTTCTGCTGTGGTTTTCTGGCTGATTCTTGTCTCTGCCAGTAACGTGGTCTGTCAGAGCGGACTGCGCAGACTGGGAACCAGCAGCCAGTTCATGTTTTGGGAGCTGGAGCAGGAGCATTCCTG